GTGGTGGAGTGGTGGTGGTGGCAGTGACAGAGGGGTGGGGCGCGGGGAGAGTGGGGGGATGGCCATGGCCGAGCACCGTTTGGGCTTGGGGCGAGCGTTGTGATGACAAAGGGGGTTTGGGGGTGGTTGTGCGAGATGAGTGCCCCGTTGCATGCAGAAAGAAAACATACCAACACACACACACACATGCACACACACACACACACACTCACTCTCTTGCTCTCCCTCTCTCATGCCCCCTTTCATACTCTCCCGACCCCACCTGTGCCCGCTGTCTTTGAGGCACACAGCCTGCCCCCCCTGCACACACTCTGTTTCAGTGACACACAGAAACGCATCAACACACATACAGACATACTCACACATACACACACTCTCAAGACCCCCCCCACCTGTGCCCCCTGTCCTTGAGGCGCGTCATCATCTTGTCCAGCAGCTCAAGCTTACCACTGGCCGCGATCAGCTGCTGCCGCGCAGTGTCCTGGGGGAAGGGGGGGGGGGGGGAACACGGTTTGATTTGGGGGTCAGCAATGGGGGCGGAAGCGTGGAAAGGTTTTGAAGTCGGCACGGGCCTCCTGCAAAACGTACGCGGGCCAAAGCCAGGGCTACGGCTGGCAGGAGAAAATTGCGCTCTGCAGGCGCGGGAGCGGCATGTCGGCGCCTGTCGGCGCGCGCGCACGTGTGCGGTCGAGAGCCTGGGGGTCGCAGTGGCAGCAAGGGGGGCGGGCCAATGGCCACTGATGCCCGGTCAACAGGCGCATCGACCGCCACCCTGCTCGTCCCCTCCCTTTCCCCTGGCCTTCCTCCCAACGTTCAACCCAAAACACACCAAAGATACATACAAAAAGTACAAAACCCAAAAATCCCCCAAAAAACAGGCGCCCCACCTGCGCATTGACCTCCCCCACGGGCGGCATGCCGTTTGTGAAGAGGTAGGGGTGGTTGCAGCACTTTCGCAGCTCCATCACCTGGGGGGGGGGGTGGACGTGACGTCATGGTGATGTCATGGTGTCGTCACGGTGATGTCACGGTGATGTCATGGTGTTGTCAGGGTGACATCGCCGCACGAGGGGGAGCGGAGGGGGCGGGCG